TACATTCAGTGGAAAGATGCCGCACCCCGTCAACTCTGCGACTCCTCCTGGTCACGGTCGCTTATAGCGACGTGGCCGGCCGTGAGGGCCCCCCCGTGTGGGCAGCTGCGCACGGGGAGCATTAGGGGTCTGCGTGGTTTTTTTCAGGACCCCTACAGTGCTAGTCCGACAACGTCGGACCTGTACACATCGTAAACCCCCAGGGGTCGTTATGTCATGTCTATGACGAACCTCTGAGAGAGCGAGGGCATTGGCTTAAACGCCTGGACCCCGAGGACGGGGACCTTTATAAAAAAAACCTCCCCAATCCTAAGCTTGGGAGCCGTGGCGAGGGGATGAATGGCCGGCAGGTTAGTCGGTCGCGAGCGGTCCACCCCGGGGCACCTGGCGCACCCCAAGTGTATCTAGTCCGAACCCAGGCGTAGGGCTCCGCCTGGGGGGTTTATAGTTCCTCCAGTTCTTATGGCCCGCCCTGTAAGCCTCCGGGTGAAAGGGGCGGGCAACCTAAAGATGGCTACACCCTTTAAAAACAGACGTCGCAGGAGGAGGGGAGGAGGAGGTGGAGGCGTATGCCTCGCTCTCAGACGGGCGAAATTGGCCCAACGTTGAGCCGACCACCAGCTCAGCCGGAAGGGAGGAGGCGGGCAGTCGCCCTTCCGTGGAATTGGAGACGGTGGCGAATGAACCCTTAGATGGAAGTGCGGGACCATCTTTGGTCCCAACACACTCCTATAACACTAGGAGGAACAGCCTCAGCGCAGGAGGTAGCGATGGCGACGTCAGCTCGCGGTCGCGGTCGGTCTCCCCCGATTAGAGGCAAATATTTGTCAAAAAGGATGGGCGGGGGCGGCCCGCTGTGTACTTTCGCACTGGAGACCACACGGCGGCCGCCCGGGCGCACAGAAAAATAAAGAAGGAGGAGAGCGACGCGGCGTCGGGCGTGGAGGATGTAAAGAACCCCAACGTACGCCCACAGTTCGCGAGAGCCCTCCAAACATTGGAAGAAGAAGGGAGGATCCTCCGTGGCTTGCGGTCAGTACGAACCGCTGAAGTCTTGTCGATGGCCCTACGGGCCATCGATGAGGTGAAAAAAGTCGCGGAGCAGTCCAAAAATATGAAGGGAGGTTACAAAAGAGCCCTCTGGGACAAAACGGCGACGATGGCCGCATGCAGCCTCGCTCTTGTTCAGAGGGCCACTACAACTGATGGCTCCGAACAGAGCGAGGCTGCAAAGAAGGAGCAGGAGACAACCCTGGGCGAGATGGAGCGCCTGCGAGTTGAGGGCGCTCTACTACGGCTGGAGGTTGGTCGCCTTAACGGAGAGCTGGAGATGGCACCTGGCCCCTCCAGCTTGCCACAAGCGACCTCCGCTATGGAGGTCGATGAAAATGATATACCGGGCCTCGAAACCGGTGTGCGGACGGGTCCCACTTTCCGGGACTCGTCTGCGGACTGGAAGAGAAAGAGGGCGAAGAAGCTGGGGGGGGGGGAATCTCCACCCTCCCAGTTTTTAAATAAAAAAGGATGGTCCGGAACTCCCTGTCTACATCCAGTGAGGAAGAGATAATGGTGGAAGGGGGCGCTGGGTCTGCCCGGCCACTCCACCCGAATCCCGAGGAAATAGAAATCGGGAAACAATGCCGGAAGGAGGTGGCTCGGGATAAAGCGGCGGGAACGCTGTCCATGAGGGGACCCCCCATCTTCGGGCACGTGATAGTCCTACTGAGGGGGTTGGTCGACCCCTCCTGAAGAGGGGAAAAAAGAAGAGGAAGGCTGCTGTGGTGGTAACGGCGGGTGTGAGGGCACTCCTCGCAGCCCGTCAAGCTGTTGGTGGGCGGCCTCAGGGGGTCGCGGGGGGAAAGTCCCCCCCTCGCTGAAAGCGCGTCCCCTGTGGTGGCAGGATTGAGTGGCGGGGAGCTAGAGGCCCTTGTGGTGGCCCCAGTTTCCCGCCTTAACGAGACCATGGTGGCCGTCATCCCTGGGATTACGCTTGGGGGGCGGCCCGCGTTGCCCCAAAGTGAAAATAAAATGTAGGAGGAGGGGGTGGGGAAGGGAGCCGAGCAACGCGCCCCGACCCTTCCCCTGCAGACAAGTCCTCCGCGACCTCTGCCCCTGCCGAAGCCAAACGGCCTGAAGTGGCGAGGGAGAGCAAGCGGAGGAAGAAGAAGAAAAAGAAGAGGAGCGGTGTGGGTGACCCCTCGCCCCCCAGATAGTAGGCGGGCTGCCCCTAAAGTGTGCGCCTGCTCCTGCCGGGGAGCCGGGCCCCCCAGGACCGGACCGCGCTTATGCGATCCAGGAGGGAGTACCGACACTCCCTCCTCCGCCGCCGGGCGCGAGACCTGGGCCCGAGTGTTCGGGAGGAGGGAGAAAAAGGCGGAAGGGAGACCAAACAGGCCCCCCAACCCGTCCCCCAAAAGCCGGCCCCAGAAGGGTGCCGCGGCCAAGGGGGGCGATAAGAATAAAAATACACGGGTTGGGTGAGGCGGGAGAAAACCCGCCTTCTCGATGGCTCCTCGCACCGCCGCCGTCACGGTGAGCTGCCCTACGGGTAGCTACGCCGATGTTATGCGGCGGGCGAGAAGCCATATAGATCTAGGTGAGCTGAGGATCGGGGATCTCAGGACCAGAAGGGCCGCCACCGGCCCCTGGTCCTCGAGATCCCTGGTCCCGAAGGACAGACTAGGGCGGATTCCCTGACCAACAGAATGTCGGCCCTCTTCGCCGACAAGTGGGACGTGCAAATTGCGCGTCCCTCGAAGAGGGCCGACATCCGTGACCTGGGTGACTCAGTCACCGCGGAGGATGTGATCTTCGCGGTGGCGGTCGCCGGGGGATGCGGGACCGGAGAAATAAAGGACGGGGCGATACGCCCAGAAGCGGACCGAATGGGGACCATTTGGATACAGGGTCCCCTTTCGGCCGCACGGAAAGTTGCGGACGGAGGACGACTCAAAGTTGGATGGTCCTCCGTCCGCGTAGAGGCCCTGATAAAGCGCCCCCTCCAGTGTTTCAAATGTCTGGAGTGGGGCCACGTCAGGGCCGTATGCAAAAGCAAGGCCGACCGCAGTGGTCTTTGTTACCACTGCGGCTCGGCCGGCCACAGGGCCGCGGTGTGCGATGCACCGACAACATGCCCGGTGTGTCGCGACACCGAGCGGCCCTGTGGCCACAGAGTGGGAGGCCCCGCTTGCCAAATGGCAAAGCGGGGCAAGGGGGGATAGAGCGGTAGGAGGAGGCCTCCAATACCCCTCCCACTCCTCCCCCCGGGAAAGAGAAGGAGCCCCACCTTGAAAACCAGAAAAAGGGGCTGCATTGCCCGAGACCCCAGTCCCTCCGACGGACACTGTTCCCAAGGAGCAGAGAAAACCGCGGGGGGCTGGGGCCTGGAAGAGTTGCCTCGCGGGAGATGGGAAACCCCAACGACGGTCCCGCTTTTGCGAGGAAGATAGGGGAGGACCTGGAGGAGAGCGGATCTAAGCCGTAATGGCTACCCGCCTCCTCCAGGCAAATCTCAATTGCGCTCGCGGAGCCCAGGAACTG